AACTTGATGTCACGAGAGATGAATACTTTTCTTGCTTTTCTGTCCCATAAGTGGTAGCCATTTGGAGCATATCATGATCGCCTCCCGACACTTGTTGTCCAACTTCTTTCTCAGCTGGCTTGGAACCCACGAAAATGCTTTACATCCAAAGATACGCAGCTTGGAGAGATCAGGTTTCGTACCTTTTCAGTGCTCAGCAGGTGTACGATTATCCGACAGAGCAGCAGTAAGACACCGGTTCAACAAGTACGTTCCAGTAAGTGCTGCTTCCAAAGTGCTGAACTTTGGCATATTTGAGTCGATAAGCATGGTTCTCACCTTTTCTACTAGGGTTCGGTTGAACCGTTCAGCCACGCCGTTTTGTTGAGGTGAGTATGCAACGGTTGGCTGAATTTGAATTCCCTTTCGTTGGTAGTACGCTTTCTCTTCTCCGGAGCAATACTCACGTCCCTGGTCGACAGTGAGCTTGCAAATTCGTCTTTCAAACTGGGTGGTTACCATGGCTTCATACTCTTGAAAATGTACGAAGACTTCGGACTTTCTCTTCATCAGGTACGTAAAATGGCTGTAGTCATCTATAAGGGAGACGAAATATCAGGATCCATCCCAAGCCGGCGGATCGATTGGTCCGCACACATCCGAATGTATTCGCTCTAGCAATCGACTGGCTCGCTCACGAGTTCCGTTGAAGGGTTCTCTGCACTGCTTTCCAAGCACACATGTGTTACAGAATCCAATTGAATCAACTTTTGGGCCAAGACCTTCCACCATATTGTGTCGAACTAACGTATTCATCGTGGTCTGACTGGCGTGACCCAAACGACGATGCCAGAGATTGCTGACCTCCGCTGCGCAGAGATTTGCTGTAGGTCCTACCACGTCCAGATCTAACTCCAACTCGTAGAGATTTCCTTGCTTCATCAGCGCCTGATGTTTTCCGCTGCGGCTTGTGAACAACACGTCAATCCCGGCTTGGGACATCTTCTTGACAGAAAGCAGGTTGACTCGCAGCTCTGGTACGAAAATTACATTTTTCATCTGAAACAGAATACCTTCTTTGGAAATCCCCTTGACTTCGCCTTCATCTTTGCCAACAATCGACACACCATCTTTGGCCTCATCAATAACGAAAGGTTGTTTTAGCTTCCGGACCGACTCACACTGTTTCCAAAGGTGCAAAAACGTGATCGAAATTGTTTTGACCTCTTAAACTTGATTTTTATGCTATAGTGTCTTCAGCAAAGTTTTTCTATGAAATATTTCACATATTATAGAGGTATCAGTTTGGTGATTAATCCCCCTAAAAGTGAAATGCAAATTTTCGTTTTCCTATTTTTGAATATAAAAATTTGCTTTGTTCGGCAAAGTTGTAGGAAATATTATTAGAAAAAGCTTTGCCAAAGACACCATACGTCTATCTGTCGAGTAGAATAGGTTTTTGTGGAGTTTTCTTTGAAACACCCCTAAAAACTAGTTTTTTCAAAATAACTTTTTCTGGTAATTTTCTACAATTTTTAAATGTTCTACAAATTTGTCACACTCAAAAAAATACACAACTTTCACGGAAAAAGTGTATTTTTATCTCTCATACTTATTTAGTTATTGAAGATTTTAATCTAAAAAACGCATCTTTTTGGTATTGAAAATCTCTACAAGCCGCAAATTTCCGCAGATGAAACCATTTACATATGAAACTATACAGTAATCACTATTGAATCCATGTATAACCGTTGGTCTCTCGCTGTCCCTTTCATGTAAAAACAAACACTCAAAAATCAACGAAATTGTACTGGTAAGAGCCCAATAAGGCTATCCATGAGACGTTTTGCAGTTGACCCGATACCTGAAAAGCTTTAAGTGTGTGAGAGATCAGGTATTGCCTGATACAAAATGTAAATATAAACAAAGCTGTTTTCTATGGAAAATATCTGTCAGTTTAACTGTGAACTGTCAAAACTTCTTGGTAAACAAAAAAAAATCAGCTTACGACAACTGTCTCATGGAATGCCTTATTCTACTATGCAACTACTAATGCCATGGAAGGTTTCCAGAAATAGAATTCCAAGAAATTTAAAACAATATGAGGTATGGTTTTCAACTGTTGATTTCTTTTCTCTCAAATTATCAATCAAATATCACTGTTAATCCTCACTATCACTTTTATCATCGCCTCAATCGTCATCTGACTCGACCAAAAGATTTTTCGCATCCTTCGATAATGGAGTATCCTTTTTCTTCGGAAATCCTCTAATGGACGAAATTAGAGGATCGGACGTCTCCAGCAATCGGTGTAACAGGTCTGCAGTGATGATTGTTATTATCTGTTATCTGGTCTGCATTTTACAGAAATAACTTTCAAACTTACCTGTTGAGGATGACGCCATATTTCGGTAATGTTTTAAACCTTATTTTAGTTGAAACTAGACTTCCGACCACACTAAGCAATAAGCTACTTTCAACGTCTCTAATTGTAAACAACGCATGAGATCATGGTTGCCAAATAAAGTGATAAAAAAGTCACGATATCCGGTAAATAAAAAAAATTCTGTGAAATGTTTAGAACATGAAACATAACGAGTATACAGCTATTTATTACATTTCTAAACCATTTAAGTATTCACAGTCAAAATCGTCTCTCTGACAACACTTAATTTCCACGCACGAGACGCGCGAGAGCTTGCGAGCATAGAATTGGGCGTTCTCACCAGTACAATTTCGTCGATTTTTGAGTGTTTGTTTTTACATGCAAGGGACAGCGAGAGACAAACGGTTATACATGGATTCAATAGTGATTACTGTATAGTTTCTTATGTAAATGGTTTCATCTGCGGAAATTTGCGGCTTGTAGAGATTTTCAATACCAAAAAGATGCATTTTTTAGATTAAAATCTTCAATAACTAAATAAGTATGAGAGATAAAAATACACTTTTCCCGTGAAAGTTGTGTATTTTTTTGAGTGTGACAAATTTGTAGAACATTTGAAAATTGTAGAAAATTACCAGAAAAAGTAATTTTGAAAAAAAAAACTAGTTTTTAGGGGTGTTTCAAAGAAAACTCCACAAAAACCCATTCTACTCAACAGATAGACGTATGGTGTCTTTGGCAAAGCTTTTTCTAATAATATTTCCTACAACTTTGCCGAACAAAGCAAATTTTTATATGCAAAAATAGGAAAACGAAAATTTGCATTTCACTTTTAGGGGGATTAATCAACAAACTGATACCTCTATAATATGTGAAATATTTCATAGAAAAACTTTGCTGAAGACACTATAGCATAAAAATCAAGTTTAAGAGGTCAAAACAATTTCGATCACGTTTTTGCACCTTTGGAAACAGTGTGCGACTGGTTGCAATCTAAACTGTTAACCAGATGGTCGCTACATCCGGAGTCCACGTAGAAGATGGTTCGCTTGTTCTGCACCTTCGGTTGCTTCTGGTTCACCATGAACGAAACTGCTTTGCTTCCAACCGCTGCGTTGACGTTACCATCGGTCTTCTTGACACGACAATCTTTCATCATGTGCCTTGTCTTCGCTCGAATCTTCCATCCTATCAGACCGCTTGGATCTAATATGGACCAACAAGTCTGTGCCATAAAAAGGGAGACCGCTTGGATTCTTCAGCCAGTAACCGCTGTTTCACAGTCTCCAGTGTGAGGTCGTTCTCGTTGATATTCTCTAGAGCCGTTACAAGGGAGTCTTAGCTATCGGGAAGGGTGAGAAATAATTGCGATACCATGTCGTTCTCTTCGAGCTTCGCGCCTGCCGATTTGAGTTGGCGTATGATATCGTCGAACTGTTGAAAATGATGCCGCATCGAAGTTCCTTCTTTCATAAGGAACCTGGCCAACTGCCAAGTCAAGACAGGGTCTGACTTGCTACAGACTTCTTCGCATATGTATCTTCCAGTGCCTTCCACATTTCTCAAGCAGTCTCCTTGTCCCGTGCTATGCCTAGACATTCATCAGAACGGAATCCAACTAGCAAGGACTTCGCTTTCCGATCTGTCTGCAAAAACTTCGCCCTTCCCTGGTCCGATTCACCGGGAACTAGCTTGGTTTATACGTCCGAAACTTCTGTCGCATACAGGTACAGTTGAACTCGAAACCGCCAATTCTCGAAGTTCGTTCCATTCAACTGCGGAATTCCGGAGCCTTCCTTCGTAGAAGAGCCCATAACCTGAAAGAACTACGTGGACAGGACGGGGCAATAATGAACAGGTCGAGACTTAACGAACAAAAGAATGGTTTATTATCGAGCTCTTGAATTGGAATGACAGCGAAAAATAACAGGAGTGACCAGGTCAGGTAATCCAACGACTACTTTGATTTCAGAATACAATTCCAAAATAATTCTGCGAAGATCTATAAGGAAATTCCAAACGCATGTCGAATTTGTTTGTCTGATGTTAGAGTTTGATGTGACCATCCCCTCCTTTCCACACATTTTCCAGCCATTGTGTCCCAGTCTCATTATCCACCTGTTTCTGTGCTACTTGCCCCTGCCCAGCCAGCATTTGGTCAACCGTTCGAGTGTAGTATCTGAAGGGGGCTTCAGAAACCTGTTCCCTACCTAGCTCCTTCCAATCGAAATTTAAAAAAGTCGAAAGTAAGGTCGGAAGTGGGCTCAGTGACTTCCGGCTTTGATTTGGTGTTACGTACCCCATTCTCGTGTTTGTTTTGATTCGCATTATAAATTTGCTGTGGCTTTTCCTACATTCCGAGGGGTGCTTCAATTAGCTTGTTTGAGCATGTTTCTTCGGGACCGCCTGGTCTTAGTGTTAGTCTATGATCTCATCTTCTTTGGAGTGATGCAGTGCTTCCATATCGTCGGAATTTCATGTATGTCTTCAATTCATAGGACATTGAAATTTTCAGATCTGTTGTCTTACTAAATTTATCTCAGATTTGCTTTTATTTGTGCGACGAAAGATCCTGGACAAACACTTATATTTCTATGTGTAACTTCAATTTCAATGTATTTCTTTATCTTTTCAGATTTTCTACGACTTAGTCCAACAAATTAACAAGAAATCTCCCGAGAGAAAGCCCAACAAAAAGAAGAAATCGCTGTGCGTGTTGCTCTAAGTAAACTACTACTACTACTACTATTACTATTACTTCTAATTAACAAAACAGAAAAGGTAATAATAAAAATGAGGAGTAAAACAAACTTGTAACAAGCGGTAGGCAGAGAAGAAGCATAAGCAGAAGCAGTTCGTTCAGATATAAGGAATAAAAAAAAGTTATAAACATTATTATTAATAATAAAATAATTGAATCGTAAAGAGGGAAACAAAACGAGTTTTAAGGATGAGAGGAACAAAGCAAAAACCGAAAAATGCGCTGCAAGGAATTTGAAACTAACGTGGACAAGTGTGCGATAACTAATATGATAGTATGGAAACGAAGAAGAAGAAGAAGAAGAAGCGTACAAGAACAACACTACTTAGTTGAGAGTAATTTTTTAAGAAGAGAACTTTTCTTTCTTAATAGCACAGAGTCACTCACACACGCATACACTTATGAAATGAGAAATGAGAATGAAAATATTAGCAGTAGCAGTGGAATCGGGCAGGAATTTGTGCTTGTGGAATTTGCCGGGGAAAATGTACATTTTTTGTCTTTTTGTCACACACGCCATCATTGTTAGTTGTGATTCATTGGATACACTTACACACTCTCTCTCTCTTTCTCTGAAGGGCTTAAACTGCAAAATGACACCGATGGTTGCAGTGGTGGTTATACTCTTTTTCTAAATCGTGATTTTTTGGCTTCCATTATGTGTAATTTAAACACAATCATACTGACATACACACAAACAAACACTTTCAAAACACTCGCCTCGTTCTACCTTTAAATACAAATATATCAACAGTGAAACAATGGAACATGAACAAAGTGAAACTATAGGTAAAGAAAAGAAACTCAGTATGATGATCTGTGTAGATGTTTTTTTTTTTTTTAGGGAAAACTGGCCAACAAACAATTGACGAGTGTTGTGTAAAACAATAGAGCAGAACAGACGTAGTGGGCTATGTAGCGACTTTCTTGCTTTTGGGTATAGGAAAGGAGATGGAGAAAAACTTAACGAGACTTTCTTGACATACAATAGTTGTTCAACACAAACACTAATCGTAAAAAAAGAAAAGTGAATAATATTATGGAAAATTGTCGTTCACTGAGATAGAAGAAACACAATATACTACTGTACAACTGATGAAAAGTATTATGAGAGAAAATTTCCAAAAAACAACACTAGAATAGACGAGTCGGGTAAACAGTATGATGTAAATTCAACAAGTTAGATTTTGTACTATTTTTAACGCAATTGTATTCAATTTTTCTACTGTGTCTAACGGAATTCTTGCGGAACATAATTGGAAGATCGTTACTCTTTTATCACCCTCAATCATCATGGAGCCGCAGTCCAAATTATCCAAAAGTTTCAACGGAACTTTTGGAGTGCCAAACATACAATCATCGTCATCTTCCTCCTCAACTCACCTCATCTCCTCGCACAACACACACACACACACACACACACTGTTTAAACTCAATTACATTCACGTTCGCAATTGATAGTTGGATAAGAAACGATATCTCCTCCTTCTAGAAACACTCCTCTCTCTTTCTCTCTTCCTAATCCGAGTTTCGTTTGTCTGAATCGCAGCATTCTTTCTAGTATTTTAACCCATTCCAAAGTTGTTCACTTTTACGCTAACTAAACAAACAAAAAGTAAAACGTTTTAGATGAAGAGAATATAGCAAACGAAACAATTCAATAACATTTAAACAGTGAACAAAAAGAAAGGTAGCATAATCACACTGAATAAAAAAGAAAACCAAACCATGAGAGTTCGCCTTTGTTCGAGTTTTAATAAATGAATAGAAGAAAAAAAAAACGCAGTTTACATTTAAGCTAAATCGTAATTAATCAAACATAAGCTCGTCATCGTGTCGTTATCGTCGTCAGGCAAATAAAAACAAAGAAACAATAGCAAACCAACACACACACACACTCACTCACCCATTCACTCAAAACAAACACCCGTCTACTTCTTCGAAGACCATCTCAAGAACCCCAGCAAAGGAGATGTTGTAGTAGTAGTAGTAGTGGTGAAGGCAAGACCCAAACGAGCACATTGTATTGTAACCTATCCGCCTCCCACCCCTCACCACACCCCGCCTGTTTGTTTGTGTGTGGGTATTATATAGGTAGATAGTCCTTTCAATTCACACCATCATACAAAAAGAAAAAAAAAAGAAAGAAGAAACAATAGACGAACGTCGTCGTGCAAGCAAGGAAGAAGAAGATAGTGTTAGTGTAAAATCAAAATAAACCACAATCGAAATGTAAAAGTGTTGCGAAATGTGTCCAGCCCCCCATTTCACCCCCATTCGCATCTGACTCTTTTTATCCCTTGTGCACAAAATATATGATCAATTCGAAGTAGGCCCAGATCTCACAGAGCGCACCACCAACCAAACAAACGCTGGCAAACGCTAAATCAAGAGGACGTTGAAAAAGAGTAAACCCAAAACGAAGCAAAAAAAAACACACACACACACACAAAAGAATATTGTTTGTTGTAAGCATAGTTCCACAAACACACGTACACCCACATTGCATACCCCCACATAGAGCAAAAGAAATGAATCAAATGTTTGTTATTATCGTCACCCGTATGTTTTCAACTCATCAACAAATCAAATCAGTAGAGTAAACAAATTTCTACTTTATCGTCGTGCGTACCACGGAGATGCATAAGACAAAATTTCCGCGATGAGAGAAAGACTTTCCATTCTTGTTGCAAACGCCACTGTGCTACCTATTACCCATGTTTCCAGAATCGTCATCAGACAACACTAGTGAACACAAACATAGAAGAAAACAAACAAACAAACAAACAAAAAAACATGATGAACACAGGCCCTTTCTCTGTCAAACATAACTGAATCCGGAAGAAGAAGAAGAAACACACATAAAACGGACGGAAAAAAACAACATTACTGTGTAACCATGCAAAACAATCTATTTTCTAATGAATAAAAAGTATATATATATACAAGACACTTTGCGAATTGTGGAAGATTACTGTTCGATCGAAAGAAACTCCGTAGGGTCAGGTGGGGCAAGAGAGTTCCACCCCCCAATAAACATATTTTCAATGCTAGCTTATCCACGAAACTATGGATGATGTTCCTATGCATTTTAGAAAGTGCTGTCCAACATTAAGTCCTACACAAATTGCAATTGTTATAATGGAAGAACCCTCTCTACAATGTCGTATTGTAGATAGCTTTAGTCCGGGAGTTAGAATGTGCAGATCCAGCAACCCATTTCAGGATGTCTGGCAAGTCACGTCCATTCTGAGGATACTTTCAGTTACAATAAGCCCCGCATGTATGTATTACCTCTATCAATTGGATATTAGTATTACCTTTTTTTTGCGTTTATTTATAAGGCCCCCTCGCCTATTCGGCATTGCTTGGGCCGATGAGCATTATTAACAATTAGAACCCTTCCCGCTTTTATTTTTCAAATAAAACGTATTATTCCCTATTTGATAAGTTGCATTATTATCATATAAACGATCTGTTTGCTGACCAGTCTTCTGGGTGCACTGATCAGCACGAACTTTCTTTTTTTTCGTTCTCCTTGTGTTTCGACAGCCGGCGTTTGTTGGTATTTTCAATTTCAATCCTTTGTTGCGTTTGATGAGCTGGTGCTAGAATTTTCGTCGTTGCTTTCAACGTTTGAAGTGTGATGATCCTCGGTGTTTCGCTGTTGTTCTTCTGCTGAGAACCCGGTGAAAGCAGGAGATGATTGACCCGATGTCGTTGGCTGCTTTTGTTCGATATCAATCGACGGGAAATCAGCGAGACTGAATCCCCCTCGGTTGGATGAGCTGCTGGAGCGGTGCTATTGTTCGATGGGCTACATCCAAACATTTCTGTTTGGGATGTGCTGCTCGGCCACAATGGCGGCACGTTTTTGGTTGCTTGTCGTACGTTACCAACGTTGTTTCGTTGTCGACCGTGATGTACGATGGAATGGTGCTTTCGAGTCGCATTCGCAAAACTCGAACACCGCTCAGGAATCCTGGGAAGTAGTGCTTCCATTTCTCATGTCGACTGGAAATCACTGTCCCGTACTTTGCCATGTGGTTCATAACTGTGGCTTGTGGCCATGCCAGAGGAAGGTCATGCACTCGAACGGTCACTGCTTCACAATCCACATATATCGGGATTTTGAACTCACTCTTCGCACAGAGAATCGCGTGTTTATAGTTGTGCGCCTTTTCATAGCGCAAGGCCACTTCATTGTCTATCATCTCAATAAAAACACAATTTCGGACGTTATGAAACTGAATGCATCTAACGTCCGAATATTGAAGCCTTATATTGTTCTCGAAGAATTTTTGCACTTTTCCCGCATTGGGACGAACTGGAAGGACACTGAAGTCAACAATAAGTGTGTTTTTACCAACTACACTCATTTTCGCTACAATATTTCACCAAGTTAAGCAGAGCATAAAGAGCACACGTCCGATGAATACGAGTAATGGCTGTCGAATCTACATACACACTTCCAGGTTCGAAAATATTCTTTTCAAACCTAGCGCGTATTTAGTTTAATTTTGATGTATAATTTATAAATAATAATAGGCTCGGTCTCACCATGTTCCGCTGGTCTGCCGCCATTGATTGCTTCTTTTGGAATCCCTCGTACTTTTTCTCTAACGCTTCGTACTCCGGCGATTTCCTTCCGTAGATCGTCCTTGGTCGGTTCTGACATGATTCCACCTTTTTCGGGTTTTTCTTGATTTCCGAGGGAGATAAATCCGCACTAATTTCCTTACCTGGTTCGATGTTTACTCTTCCTCGCTGGTTGGTGTGGTCGGACTCATGTCCACCATCTGTTACTGTATTACCATGGTGATCTGGCATAAGGCTCGCTTCTTAAATCGCGGTCCACCGAGCATTCGGAATGACTCTTTGAATCAATGTAGATACTAGTATGAGATGGTGTTATATGCACAGTGCGAAAAGAGAATGAATGGAATACGAAAGGGATAAGTTTCAAAAAATCTGGATCAACAATAGAAAAGGACCCATCAGCATTTGTAAAC